AATAGTAGGTTATCTTTGTTGTTATTTTAAATACTTAACGGAGCCAAAGCACGAACTACTGGTCATTTTCATTTGTTGGTAAAATCTGAAGTCAGTTGTCAAGTCTCCAAATAGAGCAACATCCTGAAATCGTGTATATACACAGCCTCTCTAATGGTGCATTCTTAGAAGAGAGACGTGGTAAACTTGTTTTCTTTTTTATAATATAGACTTCTATGAAGTCGCTCCCCTTTATTTCATGATGGTTCTTAGATGTACTTTAAAAGAAAAATTCACACTAGTCTCTTTGTTTAATGTGACAGTGTGAGAAAGTGATCTTTATTTGTTCAAACCCTCTGCATGTAGTCTGTGCTTAGGCTCCTTTAATGTGTTTGTCTGTGATTTCTAAATGCTAAACATGTAAACAGATGAATTGTCAATGTTAATTCTGTATCCTGTCACACAGCTGATCCTTCTTTCTGCCGTGTCTTCCCTTTTTATCTTTTTTTTTTGGTGCATTCATGTTGCAGTTGATAAAATTACGTGAAGAGGTAAGTATTTTCCAGTTCCTTTTTTTTCTCCTTAGTTCTGCTTTTTCTTATAAAATTTATTTTTTAAATCCGAAGTGGATCTTGGATTCATTTTTCCAGGGAAGTGTTCCCTTGACAAAACTATTGACCTGACGACTTGAGAAATCTGCTCTGAGCATCTCCTCAGAGCAACTGTGCTTCGTGCCTTGTTGCAAGGCCCTCACTCATCTTTGCTGACATTAAGAGAAAATTAATATTTTAAAGCCAAAAAAAAAACAACAACAAAAAAGAGGGACAATAGAGGCATATCTTAAAACTATGCAGAATGTCATTGTTTGTGGGTGTTTCAGATTTGTTTATTTGTGTTCGTTTCTCAATGAAGTTACTATGACTTTATTTTCTTTTCTGATCCTGGTTTACTTTACTGAGACACCACCCACCCCTGGACTCCAGGGTCCCACATAAGGTACCACAGGGAACTTGTGCACTGTAAATACCCTTGCCCTTGTCCAGGACACCTGAGAGCAGCAATCTTGTTCCACTGTTAAGCACTTTCCTCTCTGTAGGAAACAGCCCCCAAAGGAGTTCTCCTTTTTCTGCCTGCTGCTCCAGGCTCTTCAGGGGCCTCATAAGTCCCTGCAGCAGTGCCTGTCACTGTGGCCAAATGATTCAGGGTAGTGCTGTTGTCTTCCACCAAGGCCAAACCCACCAAGGCTTCGATTCAACTTTTTGGAGACAATCACTTTTTATTTAGTAACGCTGAGTTCTGTTTTCCCACAAGGTCATAGAATAGTCCTCTTGCTCCCAGCAGTCACAGTCGTTTGGTTGAACGCACTGAGTGCAGCTTTTCCTGGGTGGTTCCGATGGTGAGCTGCTGTTCTGTGGGTGTCGGAGATGTTTCCTAAGCTTGTGAGCAGTGGTTGATTGAAATGCGGGAGTGAGCTCCTAGCTTAGCCAAAGTGACAGTGCCAGGGGAGGCGGAGGGAGAAGGTCTACCAATAGCCTCTTTACTTTGGGTTTGCCTTTTCCTTTCCAACATGGAAGTATGTGTATGTACGTATATACTAAATCAGTATAATTAGTTACACTGTTGATTACTCTCTGAATGAGTGATGACATAAACATGGTTTCCCTGGGAGGTGGACTGTTTTGTGTATTTAGAGATCCTTATCCTTTGCTGAGGAATCTGAATGTTCAAAGGTTGATGAAGTGAACAATGATTTGAATGCACGTACACCCCCCCACACACACACACCAACCACATGCCAAGAAACTCCACAAAGCTCTTGTCCCTGAATCGGCAGTGATCTGATGGCTAAAATTCCTGTGCTTTACAAAAACAAGTATAATTTTGGCCAGATTTTTGTTACGTTGTAGTGCAGGATCAGAGGAATTCTTAATTTTGAAAGCTGAAAATTATGTCCCCATCTCTTTTGTAATTTATTATTCTTGATAATTTCTCTTGTTTTTCTCTGTCAACAGTGTGTGTGTTAGTAGCATGGGTGATGTTTCTGAAGCTGTTCCGTGATGGAATTATTGTCAGTAGAATGAGATCGTCCGGGTGATGGAACGACAATCTGAGGAATAGTGTGGACTGTGTCTTTGATTTGGGTGCAGCACAAATACTTATGGATTAGGTGATGCTGAGCTTAAATGGAGATTGCTCAGAGGGGCTCTTCTCCCAGTCAGGAGTTGCTTGTGCTTATGCAGTGAATGTTACCCCAATTTTCACTTGCATCTCTTCTAAGAAGACAAGCACCTATCTGTTCCAAAACACTGTGTTTTGTTGTGTTTGGGAGCACAGAGTGCCCGTCCTTCTTCGTGATGCTCTTATCAGGGTATGCTGGGAGGCAGGGTCTTAGCGGAGAGGGAGCTGATCTGGCGTTGGCTGTGTACACCAAGCGGTTGGAATCCTGCGTCCCCAGTATTTCCCCTTTCACAGCGCCTCACACAAACTGAGCTCCTTCTGAAGGCTCCTGCACAGCTTCCCTCACCTGCTCTGCAAAGGTCCAAGAAGAGGATGAGAGCCTGAGTCTGGGACGGAGTGTGGGGCACATGACAGCCTCTGTGCCGCTGTACTGTGTCTCCTTTCATTTACACGACTGGGGCAGTGCACAGCTGAGGGGGTGATGTAAATGGTGCAGCTGTTAAAAGAATTTGACTTTAGTTTGACTTCAGTGAAGAAGTTTCAAAAAATGAAGGGAAACCCTGCTGGGAAGCTGCCCATAAACTGATCATCCTCTTGGGTGGAGATTTTCTGGTGGCATGGGGAGAAACTCTCCAAAAGAAGCCATCACTTCCATTACTTCCGCCTGTGCAGTGTTTAATGTTCATTTGGACGTTCTGCTTCCCATGTAGCTCTGGAGCCTCCCCAATTGTCCCACGCTTAAACACTTTATTCCACACGTGTTTAGCTTTTGTTCATCCATCATATATAAGCATTGAGGAAGAGCCAACTCCAGTATAGTCTGTGATTTCTTTATCTCTATTAAGCTAAATGTCTTCTTTGAATTTAGGATTTTATACAATATGAAAATAAGCCCCAAATTGTCTTCCTCTGGACTAAAATTCAAAGTTACTCTTGCTTCTCAGATCAGATTGATATTTCTTTAGAGGATCACCAGTTTGAAGTCCTTTGTTTGGGTAGAAAACAGTATGCAGAGGAGGGAAAAGCAGTTTTTACTGCCAGAATCTGTATATGAGGGGAATCAGAATTAGAGACACATTTCTGGCACGCTTTAGTAATAGGAAGTTTTATTTAGAAATAGCTGTGCCAGACACAGAGGACACCTGTGCTCTTCCTTGTCTCAGCTGCAGCCTTCAACAGTTTTGCTTTTCGTGAAATAAGAAGCTCTTTTCTCCCTTCCTCCATTTTATTTATTTCGTTTATTTTTTCCAAAAGGAGGGGCAGCATTTCTCTTAATTTCTGCACTGTGCATCAGACAACTCTATTAATTATTATAGACTGCTCTTGCCGCCTCCTGACCTTCACATCAGGTCCTGTCTGTCTGTTCTAAAAGCATTGTTTTAATGATTCTTCCCCCCAACCCTTCCCCCAAAAAATTTTTCAAGGAAAGCTTTGATGTGGCTTTAGCTGCCTCTAACGTCTGGCCGCATCTCAGATGTGTCACCTATGCCGGGAGGGAATAAGGAAATCACGTTTTGAATGGTAATGATAACATACTAATCACTTCCTTTCTTTGAAGATGGAAGCGAGCTATTCTGTCAGCATCCCTGGCTGCTAGAGCTTGCAGGCACTGGTCTAGGTGTATTAGCTTAAGTGTGCATGTCAATACAGCTTGCATCTCCAAGATCCATGGGGGCTCATTAGAGCAAGGTAGATCATTTCACTCGACAGCCACTCAGATAATGCATGTGGCACCTCCTTTTTTATTATTATCAGAAAGCATTGCTTCAATTTTAAGTGACATCTGTCAACAACACAAAGTTATATAGTTATGGTTGCATGTTTTTCTTTTTCTTTGACCAGACACCAAAATTGACTATAGGGCAAGAGAAACTAATGTATACAAATATATATATACATATATATATACACATAGATGTGTATATGTGTGTGTGTGTATAAACGCTGCCCACAACCAAATATGCAGGCACACATAATCATACATTTCTAGGTATCTAAACATATGTACATATATACCACATGCATATACCAATTCATTCATAGACATGTCTAGCCTGTGAATCTATTTTGGTAACATGAACATACCTGCCATGGGATCAAAAACGTAAGGTCTCAATGTAGAAAGGAAAGTTTAAAATATTGGAGTTCTCTAATTTGCTCATAAGATGTAATATGAAAAAGTTGTATATAATTTTATTCCATAGAGTAGATTGTGGTTTTAGTGCACAGTTCAAAGCACTGTGTGTTAGCAGTCGACTTTAACTTAGTGTCATATGTTTGGGGATAATGCACAGATCCTGTGTGCCTCCTGGTTTTTGGTGTTGTCGTGTGTTCCCCTTGAGCTGGAAGTGCTGGTTAGCATTCTGTCCCAGTAGCATCCTTGTTCTGTGTGCCAGCGTCTCCATTTCCAAACTAAGAAACATTCTCTTAAAAATAAAAAAGTTCTTGTTTAAAAAAATTATGATTTGCAGAAATCAAAGGACCAGTGAGCGCTGGAAATGATTGTGTTTTATAAAACTAAACAGAAATAGGAATCACAGTGTCTCATCTGTGTTAAAACAGGAAAGATCCAGTTGGCCCTGCTCTTCATGCGCTTCTCAGTGGTGTGGAGGAAGATTTGCTGTGACCACTCACAACAAGGGGCTCCTTTAAAAACAAAAACAAATAAGTGGATGGTCTATCCATTGTTGTCTGTCCTCTGAACTGTCTGCTAAAATTTAACTATAATGGATTGTGGATACCAGCCCCCGCAACACCCCATGTTAGGACATACAAAGGCATTATTTTTTAAAAAGGCAAAAAAGAACCTTGTAGCCATCCGTCTGACTCCCCCTTCCTTTCAGAGGGCACATCTGCTGGATAACACGGAGAGGCTGGAAAGGTCATCGCGGAGACTAGAGGCTGGATACCAGATAGCAGTGGAGACCGGTAAGAATTCTGAAAGTGAGCAAATTGTCTTGCTTATGCACAGCGGTCTTCACAACACATGACATTTCAGCGAGACTTCAAAGGAGCAGCAGAGACAGCAGCCCGAGATGTGGTTTACATATTGGGGAGACAATTGGGAGCTTATTTGCGCTTATCTTTTTTCAAGTTAAAAGGCATGACATCTACCGAAAACCTTCCTGAGGTTTGAAAGTCTACATCTGAAAGCAGACGGGATACTTTGTCTAAATTCTACATTTGTCTTAATGTGCAGTTACACGTTGTCAGTTTACCCACCCGCAACGATGGCGAGTACACTGCGAAGCCTTGCTTGTTTGCGACGTGGGTTTTAGTCACACATGTAAAAATTAACATTTTAATCAGTCTAAATGATAGGAACTAGGAACAAAGACTAATGATACCTGCTTGCTTGTTGTACTCTGTGTGGGAAGTGGCTTTCTTCAGTGACTCTGTTTTATAAAAGCCACAAACAGACCCTCTAACAAGGTGTGAAAAATATCTAAAGAACAACAAAGCTAATATTCACGATGATCTTATTACCATTGATTTATACTGTTCAAATTTTGGTTTGAATTGACAGTAGTCATATTTCAAAGAAAACCGTCCTAATTTTTCTAAGGCTAGTCTGTTCAAAATAGAAGGTCTTTTTTGTGTGAATAGTGAGTGTTTTTTAAACAGCAAGCATTATTAATACCTTGGTATTTACTAGTTTCTTATTATTTTAGCCACACTTTTTGTTTTCTAATCTATAAATTATAAATAATGTATTTTGTATAGTTTGAATTGTTCTTACACACCCTATAACAACAAAAATATGTGATTAACAAAATTTTCCTGAAAAAATTAATTTAGCGTTACCAAAATACCAATTTTTTTGAAGAGTCCATATAAAGAAAATGTTCTAAGTATCTCTTTTATGAATGGCCAGTGTGCTTGCCCTGGCTTTGTGGCTGTCCTCGATTGGTTTATGTGCTGCATTCTAAAGAACCAAATAAGGAGATTGTACGTTTATTAATGATGAGGAAGCAGAAGAAAACCATCCACTTCCCAACTTTTAACAGTGTGGGCTACTGCTTCCCTCGGGTTACTGTCAGCTGACTCTCTGCCCTGATGGCTCCCTTGGTTTGAGGCTCACCCTCAGAGCAGACTCTTGGGGGGAATATGAAGAGTGGAAGGAGCCACGTTCCAATTTTTACTTCTGTTTTTATGACTCTGAATGAATTATCTCATTTCCCCAAACCTGTTCATTCTCCAATAAAATAGAAGTAAATTGCACATCTGAAAATTCTTCACTTAGTAACATGCATTACTTTAGAGTATTTGATGTGCTATAAAATATATATATATACATATATATGTGCATAGATTATTGTGAGGTCGTTTGGTGATACAGAATTATGGAAAACATTTTTGTTTGTGAAAATTTGTATATGTTAAAGGAATAGAAGAGGGTGTGCTATTCTTGGGAACTGTGGCACTGTCTCTATTGGACTTTACATTCATTAGAGAAGGGCCTTCCTTGCCAAGCAGCCATTGATGAGCCTCTATGGATTGCGCTTGGGCTTAAGCATGCTTTCCGAGTCCCTGCCAGCCTCACTGTGGTAATGCCAATAGCTCTGTGCCCTGACCATATGTAGGTTCTTAGTAGTCATCATTTCACTATGGGCAGTGAAGAGCAGCACCTGCGAAGGAATAAAACAGTTTATTTTTTTAATAAAAAGGGTCTCACATAGCTTAGACTGGCCTAAAACTCACTATACAGCTAAAATAGCCTTGAACTTACAGCCCTTCCTGCCTCTACTTCTTAAGGGTTGGGGTTCTAGGTGCATCTCACCAAACCTGGTTTATCTGGTACTTGAGATTGAAACCAAAGCATTGTGCATCCTAGACAGACACTCTTAGCAGCTCAAGCTGTGATGATCGACAGGCAGATACTCTACCACTGAGCTACATCCCTCCCTAAAACTTAGCACTGGGTTCCAAAGTGATGAGATGCAAGAAGACATGGACAAGGACAAATGCGCTTGTTATGAACACCAGCGCTTCCAAAGACATGGACTCATTTCCTAGCACCCACGTGCTAGCCTACAGCCATCTGCAACTCTGTCCCAGGGAATTCAGTGCCCTCTCCTGGCTTTCAGATACACCAGCTGCACTCAATGCACAGACATGCATGCAGGGAAAACGTCAAACTGTTTGACTGTTAAAATTGCACCTGGGAGGGCGTGCTTTCCAAGAACTGCTGTAGCCTGGAGCTGGCGCCATACTCAGAGGGTTTTAAAAAATGAGATCATAAGTAGAATATAATGGCTTCCCACAAATCATATTTTATTTAAGAAGTTAAATTTAAGAATGACATTTTGTCTAAAATTATAGTTCTGCTCTATGAAGTTGAGCAAACGCAGACAGTGTAATGATGTCATCTAGGAGGTAGAAGTTTGATGTATTCCTTTACTTGAAAGATGCTAAATGTGGCATCCCTCTTTGGGGCGTTCTGAAATATTTTTCATTGTTTTATGTGTTTGATGTTTTCCCTGCCTGTATGTCTGTGCACTGAGTGCATGCTGGTGTCTCTGAAAGCCAGGAGAGGGCACTGAATTCCCTGGAACCAGAGTTGCAGGTGGTTGTGAGCTACCACACGGTGCTAGGAAATGAATCCATGTCCTCTGGAAGAGCGGCCAGTGCTCATAACTGCAGAACCACTGCTCTGACCCTCTCCGTCATGCTTTTAAAATTTACTTGAGCACAATAATCTAGGATCTATTGCCCGATGTACTGAATGAGCTGGGAGATCACTTTTATTGATCTAGGAACTATTGCCCAATGTTCTGAATGAGCTGGAAGGTCACCTTCATTGGTACCTTCATTGTTCAGCTGTGTAGCCCTTAGAACCAGGTACCCATTCTATTGTGTGTGTTCTCGTGCTTGCCAGATGGACACTTGACACCAGACTCTTCCTATTACATAAGATGTTAGAAGATAAAATAAGATCCTCTTTATTTAAGTGCATAGAAACAAGAGAACACTATAAAATTTTATCATTAATAGATGGCCATCAGTTAAAAAATAGTTAACTTTCAAGATAATTGACAAAAGTTTTAAAAGAAATTTGTAACGTTTCTGTTCATGAACTTGACAGGATCCTCAAGAGAACAACATCTAGGATGGAATGGGCTAGATTAGGGTGTGTGTTACGGTAATCACTGGTTGCTTCCTAACAAATTACAAAATTCATCTTTGGAAATTCTTTTATCACTGTTGACATTTTAAAGTTATCTCCTGAAATGGGCAGATATTGTGTCTTCTAAAGCAGTCACCAAGCAGAGATCATATGTCCATAGTATGTGATTATTTTAAGTATTGTTTACACCCCATAAGCATTGAATTCAATATCCATCATACTGCTTTCCTGGATAAAGTGGTTGCCTTGAAAAGGACCTAAATTCAAAACCCTCAATCTGTGTTTGAAAATAAAACAAAAACGGGCAAGGTGGCACATACTTTAATCCAAGTATTGGAGTGGTGTGGAGAGAGGTAGATCCATGGGGCTTGCTGGTCTGACATCAAGGAAGACAATTAGCAGACACGTTCATAAACTTCTCTGGAAGTTGTCCTCGTGGACTAGATATGGTTCTGATTGCATGAAGCATTGGGGTGACTTCTGAGTTCTCATCCAGAACCTTTGAGGTGAAAGTGGCTCTCCATTACTCCAGTTACTACAGGTATGATTTCCAGCTGTGGCGATGTCCATTTGTTAGTGGTCAGTACTTCAGTGCTGGGTCATCTGCCTTTTCCTCTGAAGTTGTAATTCTCCTCCCCCCTTAAATTAAATATTCCCTGACTACAGTCAGCATGAAACCATCAGAAGCCGTGGGATCAGTGACAGAGATGCAGGCCTTATGTAAAAAGGTCTTTTAAGGACCAGTGACTGTTCCATCCTGATTTCTGCATGGGCACAGGCCACCTTCAGGGCATCCTGAAGCTGTAAGTTTTGGGTGTTCAGTGGCTTATTTCTTAGATTATAATGAGATCTATTGGCTGACCTTGCTTTCATCCCCTCTTGGATTCCCAGATCCCGTGTGTTGACAATCTCTGTAGTTGCCAAGACTGCCTACTTGTGTACTGGCCTCTCATTCACTCTCATCTTTTCACATGATGGTAGCCAAGAGGCTGAGAAGGGACAGCTACTGACCTCTTGACAAGGATGTACGTCTGCCAGCCTTCGCCTGAGAACGAAGTGCTCTAGACCTTCACCCAGGGCCTTATGTGGGCGAGGGACACAATGCCTGATAAACATGCCACATGGGCCCCGTGACACCCTCGTTATTCTATAGCCATTGGTTCTTTGTCCCCACTTACTCCTTTTTGTAGAAGAGAAAGGAAGTTACAGAGAGGTGACTCGTTTTTCCACAGCTGTAAAGCTAGGCACAGTAACCAGATCATTTTATTCCACAATCAGGTATGGATGGTTTCACATGCCTAGATTTTCCAAACTGATTTGCTGTAGTCAAATTACATGGTTGTTCTCACATCTGTTAATTTTCTTTTATTATAATTTATTTTAATAATATCCATTGAATCTGTGTGCCACATATTAAAGATACAGTAGTGAAAGATACTTATTCTTAGATAGTTTATAAATAAGGTGGAGGTCAAGTAAAACAAGGCATTTTAAAAAGGAATAAATAAATGGAATAGTAGTCAGGTGAGGTAAGCTATGGAGGCTAACTGACACAAGCTAAGTGGGAAAGAGTGCAGATTCTGATGAAGACTGTTTGTGTCAGAGCAGAGGGTGCCTTCTAGAAAGGCAGCCTTGTATGTTTGCTGACTGTTAAATCGCATATGACAGTCTGGGGCAGATGGCTGGAGGAACAAGGGACAGTGAGCACAAGGACTCTTAACTGTGCTGTTGGGTGTGAGCAGAGACACAGCCCATGGCCCAGTAGAGGCTGAGGTGCACACGGGGAGGGGACTAGGGATGG